CATAAAATTGCTCACAAAATAAGCGCCAAAACTTTTTTCAGAAAATCAAAAAAATATTTTCCCATCCAAACATGAAAACAAACGAGGCATTTTGTAGAGAATTCGATTCTCTGTCTGATGGTATAGTTTTCGAAATTTTTGGAAAAATTATCTAGATCGGGAAATTGAATTTAAAATTTAAAACTTTTTAAATTTAATTTTCGCTATGAAAATTTAACTTCAATTTGTTTTTGAGTGCAGATTCGTAATCAGCGCGAAAAACTGCGTCTAATTTTTAATGCTTAAACTTTTAAGCATTGGTCAAGGTAAAACAAAAATTAGAACCTTCGCATCCAAAGGTGGACCGTTAGCTGGGTACGCCGAATAATTCATTATTTTGAATATTTTTTATTAGATCTGATTCTTCTATTGTTATCATAATCTTCCTGAGTTTGTATTTTTATATTTAAAAGCGTATTTTTCATTTTGTTTAAATGTTTTCATAGGTTTATCTATACTACTCTTTTTTTCTAATTCATCATTAAGTTGATTAGCAGTCTTTTCTATTTTTAACTTTAATATTTTCTATTTTTCTTCTAATCAAATTTTATTTTTATTTATTTATTCCATTATTTTTTAATTCCATTTTTTCATTTAGTCTATATCTTCAATTATTTTTTCATAACATTCGTTTTCACTATTACTAGGTTATATTAGATTGACCTAGGCTAGGTTACGAAAAACACTAATAGGTTAGATTAGGTTTAGATTGTGAAAATTTTTATAGGTTAGGTTATAGGTTGTCAAAAAGTCGTAACCTGCAGGGCTCTAGCTCTGGCCTATATCTAATATTAAGTTTTACTAATTATTTTTTATTTCAAAATGACACTTATTTCCAATAATACTCTAGCATCAATTAAGCCATCCAGTTTTTATTCATCTCGCAATAGTGGTAGCAGACCATTATGTCTAAGTTAGTCATTATTACCTATCTATGCTGTTACTACTGATCTTTCAATGATTGCAGTATTAAAGGTTTAATTGAAAATATTCAAGCAAATGGTGCAGATACTCATGTGTGTATCGATATAAGAATATTATCGAAACATATCTAGTCACTGTGAAGCTGTTTGAAAAACCGTGTATACATGAATTAATATTCATTTTATGAACACTCCCGATCGATTTTGCTGCTACATATTCAATGACGACTTTAAAATTAATTTAAAATGGTGTTACAAAAGAATCACTCGCTCTACCGCCGTACGATTGATATTCTTTAAAATTCTCGTGCCATACAGTATTAGCCATTGGACAGTCGATCCAACACCGTTAAATATATTGATTTATTCATAAATACCTACGAGTACACACATTGCTGTATTCGTTTGTGTTACGCCATTATTTCAACTTTTAAACGCAAAATCATTTCAATGGTATTATTATTTGATTGTAATAATTCTATTGAGTATTAATGAAGCATTTATCTATGCTATGACCATTTCAAAAGTGCGTTTTATGCAAAAGTCAGTGATCCAAAAATCGGTGGTACTTATATAACATTATTGAGTACAATAGCGAATTTGGCAACAAATCTAATGTGTATTAGCAACTTGGTTACAATGGAAATCGTGTATCGTACAGAATTTGATGTGTACCCGTATGGAAAATGAGAAACAATGTACATTACTTAATGGCAAATGTCAGATTAAAATAGATACATATTACATTTAAGTAGGATTTTGTATTGTTCTCGATTTTCTATGGCTATACATATACGTTCATACCAGTGTATGTTCTTATGATTCTTCTAATTCTTCCATATGTGTAGCATCTCGTTGCCGTTCGTCTTCCTTTTCTTTTTCTCGAAAATTTTTAAAAATATTTGCCACAACATCTGCTGCTACCATTTCACTGACATTTTTACTTAATAGACGTATAATGAAAAAACCATCACCCATCAAGTAATTGAATGTGAATTTTTGAATAATACGTTGCTCAATATCGTTATTATCTGATGATATATCTGTTCTACCATTATTAATATTACATAAACGTTTAATATATTGTAATTTACCACGTTTATCGATAATCTGTTTTATAATAATCAAAAACTCAATTATGTTATCTAATATTACATAAACAAACCAAAACCATAATATAATGAATATTTTTTCATTGAGCATATTGACTGGTAATACACATTGTATAGTATATCTATGAACAATTCCAATTTCTCTTATTTT